ATTACCTCTCCTGCTGAATCATGATGATTAGACTTGATTTCATATTCCAGCCTGTACTGAATATAATCCAGATCAGAGTCAGCTTTCTGGAACTAAAAACCAGCACAAATAATTATTTTATAAATCAAAATACATATTAGTAACCAAAGTACTTTGGTCTTTCCTTCTGTTTTATATTTTTTGTTATTTTAATATGATAAATACTTTGAAAAGATCATATTAGAGATGTAGAATGGTACTTGCCTAGCATGCATGTGGTCCTAGATTTTATAACCAGCATTGTAGAAAAAAAAAAAAGAAAGAAAGAAAGAAAGAAAGATAATAAAAGAAAAAAGAGCTGGGTGTGGTAGTGCACACCTATAATCCCAGCACTAAGGAGGCTAAGGCAAGATCACTGACTTCAACGCCAGCCTAAACTACACAGTGAAACCCTGTCTCAAAAACAAACAGAAAAATTAAAAAGTATATAAAAAATTTAAAACTAGCTAACATTTTGAAATCATCATCCATATACGTCTCTTAGTTTTGAATCAAAATAGACTGAGTAGCCACTGTCAAATACTATAGTAATACAAAAACATGAAGAATTCCCTAGGGCCAGTGATAATCAGGTAAGTATCACTTTACTACCTCTGGCAGGAAATATAGTTACAAGTTAAAAGTACAGAACAACTTTATTTCAGAGATATTCAGTTACTTTTATTACAAATAAACCACAGTAAGTAATAAGCTACAAATATATGCCACCAAAATTAAGTCTTTCAAGAGTTATAAAATTATATAATCTAAATAACCCTGATTTATTTAACTTGAGACCTCACTAGGATTTTTTTTTTTTTTTTAATGTACAGGGTCTCACTACACAGACTCGTAGTGAAGCTTCCTGTTTTTCAGCCTCCCAAGTGCTGGGATTATATGCGCAGGCTATCACACCTCCTCCATCACCATCTCAGCCTGGCAGGGCTGCCCAGCAGGCTGGGGATCCAACCCATCCCTGCGCCTGCCTAAGCAGGTGCTTTAATCCACTGAGCATCTGGCTGGCCCACCACCTAAGATCTTGATCTGCAGTAAATCTCTAAGAAAAAAAAAAGGATAGCATCACGACAGATATAGGGGATAAAAAATGCCTAAATTAGAGTAAAAAGTTGCACTTAAAATTATGAATATTTGAGAGCAAAGGTGTAGCTTAGTGATAGAATACTAGCTTATTTTGTGTGAAGCCATGGGTTCGATTTCCAGCATGCCCTCAAAAAATCAGTATTTCATGTATAATAGATATTGTGAAATAGGAAGAAAATGTTCAAATGGGAAGGGGAACTAGGGAAGGGAAAAGAGGAAAGGAAGAAAGGAAAAAGACAAAAGGTGATGAGAAAACAAAACGGAAGCAAAGCTTTTCAGAAAAAGGAGTTTTTGAGAAAAAGAGGGGTTGAAGGGGGGTAGGGGAATATAAAAAACAAGAATCAAGTTATATCGTATATAGGGCCAGCCAAATAGCTCAGGAGATGAAAGCATCTGCTTAGGCAGACACAGCGACTGGGATTTGATCCCCAGTGTGCCGTGGCAGCCCTGGCCCACGGGGCACACTGAAAGGGCAACTGAGATTGGGCATGATGGCACTTGGGAGGCTGTAAACAGGAGGATCACTATGAGTGCAATCTATGTAGTGAGACCCTGGAGACCCTGTCCTAAAATACAAA